CAGGAATGTGCGGAATGACTCAAATCTGACAACAACGAAAAAAAACTTTAGCATGAAGAAAAAAAAATTCGGGAAAATGGAAATTCGGAATTTTTTTCCTTCTTTTTTTTTGCACGCTGACGGGGTTGGACTCGATTGGGAAATCGCGAATCTTTCACGAGTCGGTTCGTAATGGTCGCCGAGCGGCTGACGACCAGGTATTTAACGTGAAATTGAAGATGACTAATCGAAAATGCTTGCTCGCTGCGGGGAGCACGACTGGGTTCGCTTTTTCCCTCACGAAGGGATGTTGTGCACCCGTGCACATGGGATGTAGTGCACCCGTGCACATGGGATGTAGTGCACCGGAGCCCGTCGGATGTAGTGCACCGGAGCCCGTGGGATGTAGTGCACTGGGACTGCCTTTTTCTCGATTGCTTTCTGTGATCTGCTCGGGGTGACACGCACGGGTTCGCCGCGTGTAAAAAAAAAATAGAGCAATAACCTCGGTGCTTGAATCGGCTGCCAAGTGCCGATCCCCTTTTACTTTGAGCAGATGCGCTTTTCTCGCGAGGGTGAACTCGATGGTCGTGGAGAGTATTTATAGGTGGGAGACGAAAAAAAAAAATTTCCGGTGGATCAGGATGAATTTTTCTTTAAATTTTCTTACATTTTTTCTTAATTTTTTTTTGCTCCAGCTTCCACTTTCTGGTGGAATCTCGCCCTCGCATTCCGGTTAAATCGCAAGATGGGATTTAATTTTTAAGATGTGATTTAATTTTTAAGATGTGATTTAATAATTGACCTACTCACGGTTGGGGCGAAAGTGCGACTTTCCATGTGATTTTCATCTGATACCCTTATCTGCCTTGACCTTTAAAAAGGGGAGACAAGGTCAACTCCCAGTTTTACTACTGTGAGACGGAAACCGATACATGCCCGGAAGTGCCGCTTAAACAATTTTTGAACTTTGGGTGGATTTTTGAACCGAGCTCTAAAATAATGCCGCTTTATTTCCAGGAAAATGCTCTATTATCAAAGAAGCGATTTTTGAACCGAGCATTTCCCATAATGCTTCATCAGTCGCAATGGAAGGGCTGCACGATCTATTATCAAAGAAGCGATTTTTGGACCGAGCATTTCCCATAATGCTTCATCAGTCGCAATGGAAGGGCTGCACGGCTTGCATCGTGTGCAATCGTATCGCCTCGTGTTAACCCTTTGGCGGCGTATTTTTTTTCACCAAAAATTTGTTTTTCAGGTCTTCAATATTTTAACCCTCATCCGGTTTCCCACACAGAAATCCTACACGCAAAAAAAATCGGATGACACATGCAGACCTAGGAAGTATAGTTAAGATGTTAAAGTTCCAACTCTGTCTATAAAAACAAAAGAGAAACAGAGAAACTTGGAAACAGAGAAACTTGGAAAAGTTTCTTACCATCACTTCCGGCGCGGAATCACTTCTTTTTTCCTCGTCGTAGTGCAGGGTCGTTCAGGAAGAAATAAAATGCGCAATGATGGCGAATTGCGTTTCATGTAACGATTTGTGTCGGTTACGAAAGGCTTTCTCTTCATCAGTGACTGGCATTTTCTTCGACCTTTTCTCGAGCACTTATCCAGCTTTTGGATCCAGTTATTTTATCAATCTAAATATCATGTTATCTGGTGATGATGTGCTAAGTTCGCTTTCACGCAGGATTGAGTTCCATTCCATGTGGGTAAGGTGAACACAGAAAATGTAATAAATCATCACAGGGAGGATGTGCTGCGTCAAATGATGCCAAGGGGTTAAGCCGACACTTTGCCGTATGCAAAGAGGAGTCATTGCTGACGGAGCAAATCCCATTGAGATCTTTAACCCTTTCCACGGCCTTTTTTAAAATGTTTTCGAATGTTCATAAAATATGAAGCAAATTTTTTTCATGGATGGTTGAAATATTGATTGAACATTGATCGAAATTATTGCATAGGTAATCTGGAAAGCAGCGATTACCTTCTGTGATAACCTTCTGTGGGGGGGGGAGGGGGGGGGGGGGGAGTAAGTTGCCTGAAAAACAAGGCTTGAAAGTTGACGTTTAAAAAAAATTTTTAACGCTTTTTATTTATTTTTTGCATAAAAAATGAAGTTTTAAATAGACAAATTCCGTGAAGACAATATGAATAGTGGTAAACCTGCGCTTAATACAAATTACAAATTATTGCCAATTACAAATAATTGAAGGGCTGATAAGAAAAAAGACAAAAATTAATTTCTCCAGCTCCACAGGAAAATTTGAATATTCCAGTGGCTTAAGGATATGCGATAAGGATAAGCGATATGCGTTGATAGACCGGTTTTTAAATTAAACGCTTCAATTAAAGAGTCTATGCTCACAAAACCAATTATAAATTCTAGATAGACCACTTTTCCTTTCCCCCCTTTAATTGAATTACTGCGTATCATCGGTGACCCTGAGTGTTGATAGGGGCTTTTCACGAGGGGGGGTTTCCCCGCGCAGGAAATCCGGGAGCTTTTCCGCAAGAAATCGCCCCCATCTCCTTGGTTTTGCGTACTTCGCTATCCGGGCGAGAGAACCGGTTCCGTCCCGCGGAGAACCTTGCTGATAAAAGGGGCAGTTGTGACGGGATGTCGCACTTCACGATGGCGAGGACTCTCTGCTTCCTGCTGCTCGCTGCTCTGCTCGCGGTCGCGGTCCAAGGTAAAGTCCTTTTTTTTTTTTCTTTCACGACTTTCATGCGAAGAGAAAACCGTCCCGACGCGGTATGTCACTTTCTTCGGGTAATCAAATCGCAGCGGGAAATGGGAATTTTCGGAATTCCTTGATTTTCGATTGATTTTCAATTAATGGGACGTTCAACGCCTTAGACTTTGAGTTTCAGCGAATACTGCCCTTGAGGTCATGACAAGAAGGTCCTTGGGGACTCGAGATCCCTTTCTCGCGGCTTTCAAGGGCTGTCTCCAAAGGACTCGAAAATGAAAATTTCTCGAAAACTTTGAGTAACGGACCGAAGCTGATTTTTACCTCTCTCACAACCTCTTGCATATGTGGAAATTTAAATCAGGATTATGCAATTAGAGGAAATGAAGGCGGAAATTGAAAGTGTTACGATCAGATGGGGAATTTCTTCTCGTATAATTGGTTCCAATCTCGATTTCCGCTTGAACATTTTTTTTCAACAGCTTGTTCACCGGAGGAGACGAAAAGGTTAGAAATTGCGTAACAGATGAGATTCATATCATAACCGAAATAGCCCGGTGCACGGTCCTCACGGATTGCATTAATATTGTGACTTATGAATTGAATGTGAATTTGTGACTTTTGCCAAGCCTGAAAGATGAATGCGTTGAAATGACAGGGGATCCGCAGCTGAACGGAGAGGACGGACCCCTGTCGGATCCGTGCGCTCGGGTGAGGTGCGCAGGGCAATGCGTGGTGGTCGAGGATTTTTGCCAGCAAGCCAGGTGTCCGCGGCGGGCCGTATGTGCCGAATACGGTAACGGCTCGTCCATTCTCATCTTTTTCTTGACGCGCCGAAGTATGGGTTTCGCCCTTTCGGATCAATGAATGGATCATAATTTTTTTTTCATTCCAATAACTAAGAAGAAATCAGTAATGATATTTTTGATGGAATGTTTTGTCTTTACTGTAGCTGGATAAATACGAAATTCTCTTTAGATTTTTTAATTATCCGATAACGCTAGATTTTCTTGCTGGATTTAGGGTTCAAATACTTTCTCAAAAATAAGGGAAGTTCAGTTACGAAGTTTGTCTTAGACGTAGCTCTAATACCAAATTTCGACAAATCAAAGTTCCGTTCAAAATTGTTAAATGGTAAATCCACTGCTAATCCGTCTCCTCTCGTTTCTGGAGAGGTCGCGATTTTCCACCTGAGAAGGAAGATCTCTGTTGCTTTCAACAATTTTATTCCATTTTTCCGCTCATGATTGAGATTAAATGTTTTTGACGCAATTCAATTAACGCTTTCTGTACGGAGATGCAGTGCGGGTCCTGCTTGGGTTTTATCCCTTCGAAACATCCGAAAAGGGCACCCATCACCCATGAATTTCCAAATCTTACCTGCACATATCTTCAATGAATGTCTTGCTGTGTTTCTCTATTGATTTCAATCTATCAAGCATCAACCGATTCCCACTTGGAGCGTAGTTAGCATGAGAGTAGGTTCATGATGAAGAACGTATTAATTTAGAAAATAATCATTCGAAAATATCGTAGAAAAAGGAAATAAGCACAGGAATAATGCTATTGAAGTTCCTTATTCAGGTTGAAGGAGAACTAATGATCCGCAAGAAAGGCATATTGAAGAAAAAATTGGTTGGAATTCTAGATGCGAGGACTTGTGCGACGGTGTTCTGCAAGAGGGGGAAGCGATGCGTGAATCGCCAGGTGCAGTGCATCCGAGCCCCCTGTAACCCCGTGCCCACGTGCGTCCCCCACTACTGAAAGTCATCCCCAGCGTCCAAGGGGGACAGGGTGCAGGGAGCGCCAGGTCCTCTGCATCCACGGCCACTTGCGACCTCCAGCCCGAATGTTCTTCCGCTTTCCAGACAGCTGGGTTCTGTCCTTCCACTTGAGACCTCCACAAGCCCGAATGCGGCCTCCGCTTCTTTCATCTCTTTGCGCCTGTTATGAGAGCGAAACGAAACGATTATTGCATGCCCTCGAAGTTGCATAATGTGGGAGGCAGGAACCTTTACTTCAGTCTCCAACCCCCGCGTCTCTCTTCTAAACATGCCTGCTTTGAGTAATAAATGAGGGTCGTTATGCAGTCTACAGGAATATGTATCTGTCACTCTCGCTCTGTTTCGTGTTCTGTCTGTCGGCCCGTCTGTAGGTCTGTCTGTCTGTTCGTCTGTGTGCAATGCATCAAACGTCGCCTTTTAACCGCTGAAGGTCACGAATCCTATAAAATTGACATCAGTAATGGAGACTTTTAAAGGCCAAAACAAATACATTATGGAACGATATCTTCATCATGAGATAATTTCACGAACTTTAATGAGGGGTGAAAGGGAATGCCCCACCCAAACCCACCGGATTGCCCCACCCAAACCCACCGGATTGCCCCACCCAAACCCACCGGAATGCCCTACCCAAACCCACCGGATTGCCCCACCCAAACCCACCGGATTAAAATTCCTCCTCCCGGCGTTCGAACCCGCCATCACGCATCGACGGCGAGCCGAAAAGGGACTCCCCACCGACTTGGGCTCGGCCCGGCTTGTTTTTCTTGCATTGTGCGATGTGATTGCAAAAGGGGATGAAATATCGGGAGGGCCACTCTCTGGATGGGATCTGTCGGCCGTAACGGACGACGGGCGATCCGTCACCGTTTCGTGATAGACGATAATACTGCCTCCTGCATCCATCAGATATTGAGCGAAATATAATGGAAGAAACGGGACCGAGGCGGCGGCGGTGTTACCGTCGTATCTCGGTGATAAAATGGTCACGTACCAGACCCTAATATCTATTTATATATATTTTTGCCAAATTCGAAGGATGTCGACCGAATGAGTCATCCGCCTCCGCCGCGCAGGAAGCGAGAGCCTCCCCTCGCCGTCCACAGCGGCCAGGGAGGCGGGCTTCGCCGGCCGAGGCGGACGCTTCAGCGGGGACTCGCGCGGCGCACCTTTTTGAACTGGCATGGAACGTGATGCAATGCGTCAATTTCATTCGGATTTGCCACTTACCTTCTTTCCTCTATCTATATGCAGTTTTAAAAAATGAAGTCGATTTTTTTTTTACTGTCATTGATAACGAAAGTGATTTTGCAAAGTTTTTTTTATTCATTAAACACTGTGTGGAATTTTTTTTTCCTGAGGTAGAGGTAAATTTTACGATTGGAATAAACCCGGGAGGAAATTCATGCACGACCAGGAGTGAAAGGTCTTTAAGAAAGATGATGGGAACGAATGGGGGCATGTATCAATCAGGTTCATGGGAGGGAACGAGAGCGCAACAAGAACAGGGCGTTCCATCCATCAATGTTGCCAATGAATCGGATGACGGGGGTCTTCCCCTTCCCTGTGGATTTGCCGGGAAAGGAAAAGAAAGCCTTACAAGTTTCCTTGGCCCGGTTCCATCGGGGTGGACACGTGAGGGGAATGCTCGGAGTCGGCTGCACGCGGAGTCGGTCCGGTCGATCTGGTCGCTGCCGGGTGAATGTTCAATCGTGCGTTTTCTTGCATGCATTTCGGATGAGTCCGGCTGGCTGGGGAATGCTTCAGTTGGGGTCATTGGGTCTGCTGACGATTCGATATGGGAAATTTATGAATTATGTGAAATCGTTGAGAAAATATTATGGCTGTGCAATGGAAGTTATGGGAGGCGATTCTCATACAATTCCGAGTTTGAGACGGCGACGTTGGCATTCATCTGGCATCACTGCAAGCGCATCACTGCTTTCCATGTCGCCGTGCGACGAGCACGTGGCGAGGAATTTTCAGTTCCGGGCGAGGGAGAGAGCCCACGTGCTGGGAGTTTGATTTTTTTTTTTACGGTTTCCTTGAGAACGTTGTCGCTGTGTTGTCGAGAAGAAGGGTGGATGCAATGCCCGAGAAATATCTTCTAGAACTGGGAGACTTTTTGAAGCAGAGGTCCCGTCAAGATGTTCTCTTCAAGGCGCTCGAAACTGTTTCCGGTTAGAGATGAGGCTTTCATGCCACTCATGGCTCACTCTCCTGTTTTCCTGTTCAAAGCATTGCAAAAGTTACGTCAACGTTAAACTAATTATCTCTAGCTCAAGACATACCCGCGTTAATTTGCCTAACATTGCGAGTAGACGTATTAGGCCTGTAGGCTCCGGACCAGTCTGGGCCCACCATGCGCCTTATACGGTAGCCAGGCATCAGATATGTGTACGTGCTGTATGGTAGGGTGACCAGACGTCGCGGTTTTTCAGGCTCTGTCCTGATTTGAATTTTCCTTTCTGGTGTCCTGCCTTTTCCACATTGCAAGAATTAACATTTGGGCAATTTCTTGAGTATGTCCCATTTTTGCCTGAAAAAAATCTGGTCACCCTACCATATGGGACCTATTATTTGACCTAGAATTAGTTTTAAAAGTTAAACTGCAGACGCCTATGTAGGGGCATTGTGATAATACAATGCATTTCATCACCTTTGGATGAAGGGCTCACTGCTGAGAAGGAGAGTCTGGCCATTGTGATGGAAATCCCTGACATCATCTCGTCCCTCATCGGCATCGGGCTTTCCAGTGACAGTAGTCCAGATGCTCAGGAACTTGCAAAGAAGTCTCTTGTGAACATAGCAGCAGATGCAACAGGAGCTGCAGCCGTTTCAGATGCCGAGAACTTTCATCGACTCCTGGACAGAGAGTTGATGTGCTCGGATTTTCAAGTTCCCATGATCTTATCTAACATTTCCAGAGAAGAGAAGAGTGCCCAGAAAATCTTTGAGGCATCTGGTGGAGAGGCTTGCCTTCAGAAGATTATAGATAAATTGTGCTTGCTTCGTGGAACTCCAGAAAAACAAATGGAACACTTAGCATCACTACTTGCAAATTTGTCACAAGGAGGCGACTGCAGAAGGTAGGCTTACAGGCCAAATTCCTGCAGTTTTACCTGATTGCTTATTTAAATGATACTTGTACTCTTGGCATTTTTTATGCACAGTTTTCAGATTGAATTAGTATCTTCCTCCATGGGTGTACTGCCACCAATGGCAGACAGTTTCACCTTGCAGGTGGTTGCTTTCACTGCTTTCACTTGATGAAATGTATCTTCTGGTTGAAGTTCATTCATGCTCCATTCTTTATTAGGTTAAATTACCCAATGGTGGACCTGTTAAGAGCCTGTACTCAGTGATGGGCCCAGGTACAGGATAATTCCAGAAACTAGCATGTGTAGCGTGAACACCTCTGTAGTGATGTTTGCAAGTTTCTAGCCTATGTTGCTACAGCTGGCTATGCAAGCTAGCTCTTGGAATTTTTATGCACTGTGACCCATCACTGAGTATTTTACCTTACCCACAAAGTGTATGAATTCAATCTGAAAGGGATGTAGGTGTGTGAATCTAAGTAAATAATTGTAAGTGCATTTTACCAACTAGATATTACTAATGGAGTTGCACCTTTTCAAACTTGTGTGCATGAGACAGACAATTCCAAACCAGTTACTCATAGGAATCAAAAGATTTAAATGGCTTTGTTTTTCAAATAATAGCCTAATAGCCTTTTCCTTGTTACATTTGGGATAGGGGGGGAGGTAATGTTCGTTCATAAACACTAGAAGGGCCAGGGAAGTCATTTTGACTGCTCACTGATTTTTAATGCACATTACTCTGCTCATTTGACAACTAAAGGCCTCTGCAGTATTTACTTTTCCTATCTATAATCAACATTTTTAACTTTTTGACATAGTGAACATACCAAATAACATCTGGAAAAAGCAAATAAAATGTTACAGAATAATATTTTTATACTACTTTTCATGCAGCAGTCAAAGTGACTGCTCCAGTCCTTCTAGTGTTAAGTCTTACTTTGGGTAGAAAGTGGCATGATGTGCCAGACTTTGACTAGTGAGACTCAAGGGAGCTTCCCCTCCAATATTAGACTAGGTCTACAATTTTTTGTCATGCTGCTATACCATATCGATACATGGATCACAATTATAATAAAAGTGTGATTGGTTCAGCTAGTAGAAATGCCTCAAATGGAAATGGATTCGAAGAACTGTAGGACTCCATCTCTTCATTTTTTACTTTCATCTGTAGATGTCACTCTCACAGTTAAACATTCTCTTCCACCATATGTTGTCCCACTGGTCTACAATCATGGTTCTGTTGCCACTACAAAGGTACAGTTCCTAACATCATGAACTGGAGGCAGGATCATTCTTGAGAAATTTTATTTATGGACCAGCACATAGTGTACAGTATTAATTTCTTTTCTAGGCCTATTATTTTAGTATTAATGATCCCATTGAAAGCATTTATTTGGTGTTGTTATTATTGCATATTGATTGGGTTACAAAATTGGCTTGTGGATATTTAGGTTGCTGTTGAGAGATGGAGCCCTTCTTCTATCAAGAATATTCCCCCTTCTTCAATGCATGACATCAGAGGTCATCAGGAGAGGTGCTGCAATAATTTTGCATAATTGTTGCTTCCAAAAAGGTGAGAGGGGAGACATTTTTGCTATTGCTCTTCATCTGCTGAAATCTCATCATTGCATCCTTTTGCAGAAATGCACGACATGCTTTTAGATGAGAATGGAGCCGATATCCTTCCGCATCTTCTCTTGCCTTTGGCTGGCCCTGAGGAATTTGATGAAGAAGATAATGGGAAACTTCCACCTGACCTTCAGTATCTGGATGAGAATAAGGAACGTGAGAAAAACCCTGAAGTCCGCAAGCTGCTTCTGGAGCTACTTTATATGGTGGGGAATATTTATTTCTTGGTTCATTTAGAGAAATGTAATAATTTATGGTCAACATTATAGTTTCACATTAATTTTTTGTTGGGTTCAAAAGAAAGAGAATTTTTTAAAGGTAAACTCCGATGATGAGGGAAAGCCACTGCGCAACTTGAATCCTCGGGTTCATTGATGCATTGCATCAATTGCCTGGTGGATTTTGATTAGAAAGGCAAGCACTGAGGTGAAAAATTGATGCCATTTGAAAAAGTGTATGATGTAACTTTATCATGCATCCCATGAGATGTTTCGTTGTGATTATAGCTTGGTTCAAAGCGAAGTGCACGTGAAGAGCTGAGGCGGAGAGGAACGTACCTTATCCTCAGGGAATATCACAAGTGGGAGAAGCAAGAAAACTTGAGAAATCACTGTGAGGATGTCATCCAGCTTCTCATAAGGTTTGAAAGCACCTCCTGAACAACATTAATAACTATCTCATTTATGAAACAGGTATAACATATTATTAATGATATGATAATAAAAAATTTGCCCCGTTGCTGTTTAAGCTCCAGCTGTTTAGAGGTTACACAATCCAATACTTTCTTTGGCACACTTGGCTTATAGAACATGAGTGAGTCACGTAAGTAATGCTTGCGTCCAATCCTACTGAATCATTTCTCAGAAGGCATTGGAGAGCATGAAAGCAGAAGATTGAATCATTTGGTCCATGTCTGAGGCATTCTTGGACTCCTGGTAAAAGTTCTTGTTCAACTAAAGTAGAATCCCTGAAATATTGACAAAGTTTCACTTTTTCATGACAAGGTCCTTCTACCTTCAAGTCATCATCAAGACTGGTGGTGAGCTCCCACAATATTGAGACTTATCCTGTAAAGGTTGAATTGAATATTTACTTCTGAAATAGAACTCATGCTTCACCACCATACAGTTCTGCTGTAGAGGTGGGGGCTAAGGTTTCATGTGACCCTGTGTAATGAAATAATAATTTTTGCTGCCCAAATGTTTCATGTGACTATTGGAAATGGTTATCCCTGCCATAAAAAAAGGGTCTTCTTCAGAGGAAAACCTCATTTTAAAATTTTTTTCTGATCTATCTGTTGTTTCTTTTCATTCATATCATTAAAGGTATATATTTTCATGCCATTTCTCCTCAGGACTGAAGAAGAGATTGGACATGATGACCTGAGCACGGTCGAAATCCCTCCTGAATTCTTGGAGAAGCTTCAACTGTGATGTTGTAAGTCACTGATTCCTGCTTGGATTCCTTCCCTTCCATGAGAAACTCATGCTGCAGATCATATTGACTTTATTGCGGAGAGTACTTCATGGTCTTGTTGAACATGATACACAAGAAGCCACCAGATGTGGGAGGCTCAAAGAACCCACTTGTATACCCTGATGTCAAGCTTACTGCTAATTCAAACTTCCTTTTTGGTACCAGTCCCTGCTTTTGTTATTATGTTATCTATTGCAATAATATTGTATAATAATATGATGGTAGGTTAAGCACTGTAATTCAGTTTTTTGGTTAGGTTCCATTCATACCCCTTGATTTATGGTTCTTTATTCTCATGAAAAATATGAATTTGTTCCAAAATGTTAAATCATGCATCATGGTGGACTCACTGAATCCACCTTTCTGCTTATGTCAATCTAGCTCATACTCTTGCTCCTGCTGAAGAAAAATATTTGTAACTTTATATAGATCTATTAACTTGGAATTTTGACAAGGGCAATTGGTATAATGTCATTGATGTGAAAATTATAGGTTTTCATAGTGCTGAATCATAATTTACTGCTCTTATTGTCACTTTTACTGCATTGATGTTAGAGAAATTGGTACCCCAAGTACATGTCTATGGAATGTTTCCTGGTTGTTACCTGCTATGTTTAATGTTAAGTTTTGCTTAATGACCATTTCAGCATCAAGTTCTATATCAAGTTCTTTCACTTGGACTGACTGTGATAGAGGTTGGGCACAAAAATAAATCCCTTTCAAATCTTCAAAGAAAATACTGGAATCTATAGCCGATTCTTCTCAATTTTGCATGAGCATTGTTAAAAGAGGAATAAAGGGCTTTATCTTCTCCTTTATGTAGTAAAATCAAGGATGCCTTGGACAGAATACAAGGGGCGATCCAAAAGTTTATGCCCTGAGACACAGTAGGAATGATCGGAGAAAGCTGAAATTTGGTTCCCATATTCATTCATCCTTTTCAGTAATTTGAAGGGCCAGTGATCAGTCTTAGGTGCATTTATATTTTAAATAATAATTCGCGCATAAGACATGTTCTAGTCACTGAAAATATCAATTTCAAATTGCAGAATTTTGAATTCGGAGCAATGTTTTATTTGTATTTATTATTAAAACTATTCATATGATATAAATGTAATCATCCCGATGAAACAGCTCATTCAATAATAACAATTTAAAGCAAAACTTCCTGCAAAGCGGCCATAAAGGTGAAACTGACAATGGTGTCTCTTTGGTGAAGCCATTTCAGCATTTTCAATTGACAGTGGAAAATGAATTTTCCCCAATTAATTTGATGCACTGTTCCAACAATCGGACTTGCATTCATGTCCAGGGAGGTAATGTTGAAAAGTAAAATTTGTCTAGTCAGTCACATTCCCTGATATCTCAGGGCAGAAACTTTTGGATCACCCCTTGTATGTCGTGTTGAAAACTTTCTCAAGATTGATATGAATAAGTTTATGCTCATCGAGTAATGTATGAGTGCAAATATTTTTTGGGATTGGAAGGGGGAGGGAATCCCTATTATGTCATGTGTTAGTGAGGAAAGGATATACATAATTATGATTGCATCAACTTGTAGCTACATTTCAGAGTTTGTCAAATTTAGTGTGCATGGAGTCTATGGAGTGCTCTCATTAGCTGCCAACATAATCATACCATAGTTTGAAAGTGAACTGCATTCCTATGCATTGAGATAACAACTGAGGCCCCAGAAAAGCAGGGAGGACCGAGGAACACTTTTCTGTAATGCCTCTGCAAGTGCCATCTGATTCATTTAGTTGAATGCTTGTGAGCTTTCCTTAATAATGATGATTCTTATTGGCCTTGAAAGAAACTTCATGTCTTGCCAGTTTAGAGAAGTGTTAGCTCTATTGCTTCTCAAGGTGAAGATGGCAAAGTTTGTCTTATCTGTTTTGTAGATGCACATCCCACTGAAGTGCACTGAGAGATGCCTGCCCGATCCATTGAAGATTGGACCCTGCCACTGAGTCACCATCTATGAAAGAGGAGTTCCTTGTGGCGAAATACAGATTTTATTTTGGACCATGAACCATGAAGTTGAAGCGCCTCCAAGACCCACGGAGGAACACCCATGTGACAAGACTCATTGCATGGTCCATTTAGGATATTGAGAGGAGCATCAGCTCTCCAGTTCGGCTAGGAAATTCAGTGCTCTGCTGCATTGGGTCTTATCTGCTCACCCAACTGCAAATACACAAGGAAACACATTTTAATATGCTTGGATAAAAGAAACTCTAGACAGTGATGGATCCAAACCCATCCTTGGGGGGGGGAAAAAAAAAAGGCTTTCATTTCTGTCAAAAAGTCACTCATCAGAAATCCATGATATCACCAAGTTATGAAAACTGGCATGGAGTTCAGAATTGCCCAGAATTGAAATGCAAATGTTACATGTTTTTGGCTGATTAAATCCAGTTCATATTGTAATTTAAATAGTAGTTCATGATGGCCAGTGCAATAGCAGTGCATCCACTTCTTTCCATTGGCTCCCACTTGTGAATTTGCTCCCAGACTTAGGCGACACGGGACGACGAGTACCATAAATTCCTCAATTTCCAACAAAACCATTGTGTTTGGCATTCGAGCAATTCCCTCAGATGCTTAATTTTGTTTTAGTTACTTCTTGTTTAATAATTTATTTGAAGACCAAAACACTCTGATTCTACTTGGGAGGCTGCCTCTTCTTCCCCCCTAGATGCACAGTCGATGAAAAAAAATCTCGAGTACCGATACCTATCGATTTAAAAATGATCTTCATTGAGACCGAGACTCAGTTCAGAGTTTCTATTGATTTTGGCCAAACATCTTAAATTATGTCCCTGTTATATCCCTATTTTCTGTTCCATCAAAGTGCAATTCCACAAGCAAGAGTGCAGACTGCAATTAAAAATGGCAAAGAAGAACTTGAACCGATTTTGAATCAGTAATCGTTTGAATAGCAACCATGAAAATGACTGGAATTAACTTTTTCAGATGCGCTCTCATCAGATGAAATGTGAAAGACAAAGCAGTTGCCAGAGGATGCTGCATACAGAGTTAACAAAAGCCTCGTTCATCCACTTTTTTTTTGGGGTGCTTGTACTTAAATTGCAATTGCTCCGGTTCTGTTGAAGGAAATTTGATGAGTGATGTGGCGATGGAAAGAGGATTAATAGACCTTTCAATTCCCGTTTCGAACACGAAAAAAAGGTTCGTTTGTTCGGAAGTTATCGCCGATCAAAATTGGTGCGTTTTTGGACCACCCTGAAACCGGAAGCGACTGCCAAAGCTGATTGAGGTCGTGTTAAGGTCAAGGTCGCGGGGACCGCTTTGACCTTGATGCATCGAAGCGCTGCTGCACCTTCCGGCCAGGAGGAAATAAAAATTGATGAAAACGAGTGACTCGAAAATTTGCCGTTCGTGTGGGCGGCTTTGAAGCGGCCTTAATATTGGGCGTAAATTGTTGACTTGTGGAATCGTCGCAGGCAGACGGGAAGGCCAATAGAAAGGGCACTGCGTGAAGGCCCTCATTTACAATTTAATGCCGTTACGAGCGAAGTAACGGAGTGTGGAACAGGAAGTCCGATGCGTAACGGGATGGTTTTTATGGTTATGAGCATCGCGTTTGGTACGATTCCAACTCGTTCGTTCCGTCGATAGCTGAAAATCGCGTGTCGTGATGTTGCAATGGGGAATCCGCGTTCTCGTAGCTGGTCGTATTTTATCAGCCGACTGTTGGCCGGTACGAGACGAGGGAGATTTCACTCTCGAGTGCGCGAAATGGCCTTCGAGGCCATCGAACAGGGAGAAGCGTGGGGGAAATTCCGATCGAGCGATAGGAATTAATAGAGTGTGATGCAACGCAGGGACGGGTCGGAGCGGCTGGGTCGGCTCGCGTGGCAGGGGCGAGAAACCGAAGCATGCATTGCCGAGTGGAAACGGAGAGTGAAGGTCGGAATGGCCATGTGGGTCCATGTGGGGAGGGAGGGGGGCGGCTTCGTTGGGTGTTGAGCCTTTTGTGCCTGTTGGCTTGCCCGATCGCGATCCGATGCAGTCGCTTCGGTTAATGGGGGCCCTCTTCAGGCTTTCGAAGAAGAGAAATGAGGGATTGTTTTCTTTCGTGCCGTTTTCCTTCCATGTACGAATTGCCGAGTCCACAGTTTCGACGAGGTACCTAATGAAAATTTCTCCCTTTGGAACAAGAGGCCTTTGCCAGGTTGGAAGGATTTTCTTTGCTAAAGCGCGAAAGTTTGGAAATTTTCTGGATGGAAGAGCAAGCGCTTTCGGTTTTCCGACCGATTGTTGAACTGAGTTCATCGAGGGCCTTCGGAACCCCACGGCACTAAGCATTTTGATGCCGCTAATCGGGATAATTATGAGCATCACCTTCATGCTCAGTTGAGTAAATCCGGGAAATTACTGGGAAAACTTTTGCTCAACATCGGTGGAACCGGGCGAGTCGATTCGAGTTTCGACCAGATAATTTAATTAGCTAATTATCATTAATTAGATAATTGAAAAATCGATAATTTACTTAGCTGGGAATACCTCTTTTTTCCCTTTTTTTTTCGCAGATCCTCAGTTTTTTCTCGGAGTCTATAAAATCGACGTTGGATTAAATTTTGCCGTGTCGAAGTCGACATCTTCAAACCGTTTTTTTTTTTTTTAGCTCACTCACCAAATATTTAAAATATGTATTTTGTCAGATATATTTTCACTTATCACCTCTTTAATTATATGTAGCGCTTCGTGATTGCGTTTTCACTCACTTCAACGAAGGAACGGGAAGCAAAAAAAAAACAACAAAAATAAATAAATTTCTCGAACTTCGAGTTGACAAGTTTTCAACTGGGGTTGGAAGTTTGAGAGCGAATTTTCGTAAAAATTTGAATTTTTTTAATGGTCTGTGTACTCCGAAATGTCATAGACGAATTTCCCTCGCCTTCCGTGAGAGTTGTCGCCTTTGGAGGGAGTAAAGGATCTGTCCTTAACCCTTTCAGACCTGGCGTCCATTCCAATGGACATTTCTTTTACATTGCGTCTATGGCAATTTCTTAGGATTCTCGTGACTTTGCGCTCCATATTACGCTGCAATAGGGGCAATTATGCATGGCTTAGTTCTGTCAGAGGCCTTAATTAAATGTGTAATATGTAATATATGGTATGATATAGTAAATTTATAATAAAAAATATGAAAACTACATATAAAGCATGAGAATTTTAATTACAGTCACGAAAAAGCTCAAAAATGCAAAAAAAAGGATATTATTCCGATACGGGCCTTAATTCAGGTCTGAAAGGGTTAAATCTCATGAACATCTCGTGGACCTCCCTTAATTATTCCAGCCACTGTCGTTTGTTTTTCATTTTGCGTTGGACTGTTTATACTGTAAAAGCGCGGTTGAGTCCTCGATTCGCCATTCGCGATGGCGAGGACTCCCGGCTTCCTGCCGGTGAGGACTCCCGGCTTCCTTCTGATCGTTGCTCTCCTCGCGCTTCAAGTCCGATGAAAATTTCGTTTTCGTCTCTCAGGACTTTCAGGTGAAGTTAGTGTGTCACTTTGCAGGAGTAATCGAGTTGGGTTGGAACTCAATCGAAACTCAATTTAGATTCAATCGAAACGGACGCCTTTCGAGATCTGCTTTTGCTGAGAGGAAAATCGCTTTTTTAGCTATCATGTAGAGATGTAGGGCCAAGTCAGGTCTGGAAGTCGAGAAATTCAAATTTTAAGTTTATTTTCTTGAATGAAGAATGGCTTAAACATTGAATTTTTTATTGTTGTCTTCAAAAACAATTCAAAGACGATATTTGGTACAAGCGTAGCTCTAAGACCTATTGTGGGCACTTCAAAGTTTCGTCCGAAAATCCTCAATGGTCCACGGTGAATGAGAGAATGGAAGTCTGCCTACTCAGAGGCAGATTTGCGGAGAGGGTGGAGCGACCTGGATGGTCGTCTGCCCTGTTGCGAGTGCCTTCCCGTCCCCTCGTGCAAAGTCGCGATTTCATTGAGATCCACTCCTTTGTTCATGCAAGGGCTGAATTAACTTCATTCTGGGCGTCATCCATTTTTTAGTTTAAAAAAAGAAGAAAACCGTGGTTAACGGAAGGGTAGGTAACTGGTGAGGAAGGGGTTAATTAAATTAAAATACAGTGGAATATAAAGAAGCGGGATATTGATTCAGAAACGAGTTGGAATTATAGATGCGGAGACATCCGCGACGGCGTTGTGTCGGAGGGGACGACGGTGCGCGAATCTGCAGGTGCAGTGCATCCGAGCCCCGTGTCCACGTGCCTCCGCTTCTCTTCGAGTGAGCGTCGTCCCCGACGTCCGAGGGGGACAGGATGCCAGGGGAGCGCCAGGTCCTCTGCATCCACCTGAGAGAGCGCCGGCCTGGATGTTCTCCGTTCTGCCTTCTTTCGCCTGTGGTCGTGATTACGAAATGAAACTTTCTTCGCCAAGCTCGTGTAATGTACGATGGCCTTTTAAACGCTGACTGGAGGAATCCGTTCGGCTGAACTCGAGTGAATGAGCATCTTGGCAGACCAGATGATTGCGAGGGACTATAATTCTAGTTCGACCACCAGGTTTATTTCTTTCTTTACATGCTATGACGGAAAACCACTTCTGCTTCTTATTTTCTGTCTGGTTTCACGGGGAGAGGGAGACTCCCTGCCCCCTTCCACCTTCCCACCTTCCACCTTCCCACCTTCCACCTTCCAAGTGATCAACAAATCAATGCCACTTCAACCCCGAGTGTTGCATCAGCTGTACGGCACGTTGTCACACGTGCTTCATTTTTGAATGAAAAGCATTTATTTTAACCTCAGTACCTGTGTAAACAAAAATATTCCAAAAGGGACGCTATGGAAAAGCACAAACATATTGTTCATCCCAGTTTTTTTTTATATTAAAAAAAAATACATTTATTCATTTTGTACGCTTCTGTCAAGATAAATAATGTTTTTTTCTTCTTTCAACGGGATTGTGAAAATTAATTCACTATCGAAAATTTTGACATCGTCGTTTTCGCCAACTAAACTCGTTGTCCTTGATTTTGTTTTTTAAGTTTTTATTATTATTTATTTTTAGATTTCAGGGATTTCCATAACGCGCTTACCTCGGTGAAGCATCTTGCTCGTGGCTTTCGGCTGTTTTGCTTCCCGAAACTTTGGATCCGACTGGTTTCATTTAAATGAGATGAAGCATTATTTTCCTTTCCTTGCGTGCAGCAGCCAGCATTATTCCCATAATGCGGTAGTCATTATTCCCATAATGACTACCGCACGGGAGTCGTGACAACCGCACGGAAGTCGCGATCCCCCTTTCGCTCTCAACCGACACGGAAAAGA